GGACCATGAAATATCTCCTGTTTTGAAATTTACATTTTATATCAGACTTTAATTTTATATCTTAGCTTAAAAATGGCTAGCAATCATTTATTGATTCTAGTCTGACATATACTTGCTCCTATCAAAAGAGCAATTATTGTCCCCAGATCTCCAATTCTTTGTGTGGCAGGACCAGATGAAAGAACTAGATGGGTTCCTTCATGCAGATCTGTTCCTATTTCAACCAATTCTGACACTACCTCCCCATGGCTATAGTACCTGGTCATGTCTTCTCACCACACAGACCTTCACTGATAGGACCGTATGTTTGGGGAATCTTAAGTTCACAATATACCACCAAGACTGAAGTGATCAATGAGGCTGAGTAGTTGAGCAGAGCTGTATGATTTTTGGGGGGATGGGATGGGGTTTTTGTTGGTAGTGGTGCATGATCTTCTGAACCCAGTAAGAACCACATATTCTCTTTCCAAATCTCTGAGTCTAGATTTCGAATGATCTTGTTCACTGCAACTGCTGTAACAAGTCAGACAATGTGATTTTCAGAATATAAACAGACCAGTCATGTAAAACACCCAATCCATCATATTCTTCCTACCTAAATCTTTCCTTCTTTTAAATTCATTGATGTTCACATTAATGTCCTTCACAGCGGCAAAGGCATCCTCCACTGCTCTGTAATCTGGGTGAGAAGGAGGGGTAGAATTCCGGAGTTCGCACAGTAACAGGGGATATTTCATCACACGCTGAATTGGTTTGATCATCAAAGAGCCCATGTCCAATAAGTTTGATTTGCCTCTATAACGAAGATAAATATCAGTTTTACAAACACAATGTGGTTTTCCATGACAACCAAGAATTATGCATTTTCCTTATGGTATATCTGTGATCAGCAAGGAAAATAGGCTCATTATTTAAAAATCTAAACAGATGTCTTGGCAAAGTATGGTCAAAAGAAAATACTGTCCTCTCTCTTCAGATTGAGATATTGCATTTATAGTGTTTCAGAGGTGCCATTACAGTTTCCAAAAGAGATTGATAATAAATATAACAGTTCTCTAATTTTTATTATTACCATCGCTATCCCTAAACATTGCTATCACACAGTGACCTTCTGTTTGAAATTCTTTGCCAACAGATCTTCAGGAACTTCACAAAAGTGAGCACTCATGTCTGACTTTTTCTTTGGGTGCTTCTGAGATGAGAGCAGAACCATTGCACTGAACAGGCAAGTCACAGGAGGAAAAATCCTATAAGTTTGGTCAAGCTACTGTCCAGCCCACTGCCATTGATCCTTCACCCAGAAGGCAGGGATTTCTAAAAGCCTCTTTATGCAAACAGTATATTTCCTATACACTGTTTTCAAATCCCAATAAATGGATTTTTCATACTTCTATATTTTGAGGGGTGGGGGTTACTAGGGATTGAACCCACAGGCCCTTAACCACAGAGCCACATCCCACAACCCCTTTTTATTTATTTTATTTTTTAATTTTGAAATAGGCTTTTGCTAAGTTGCTTATGGTCTCACTAAGTTGCTGAGGCTGGCTTTGAACTTGTGATCCTCTTGCCCAGCCTCCCAAGCTGCTGGGAATACAGGCATGTGCCACTGCATTTGAATTATATTTCTGTTTTTTAAAGTACTCATATGGGTAATTAATATGCCATATAATTTGAAAAGTAGAAGGAGTACAAAAATGTTGAACAAAATTAGAAAATCTGTATCATTAGAAAAAGTCTGAAGCCCCCATAGAGACCATCTAATTCAACCCTTCACTTGAAAAATGAGAAACCACAGAACCTCAATTGTCAAGTGTACATGCACACCTGCATATACATGCACACA